ACTGTTTGTCACCAACGCCTACTTCTGGCATTGCCAAAAACGTGCCGACGTGGCATTCAAAGGACGTTCATACGGCCAGTCAGATTGTCTACATTCTAAGTTGCTGTGTCCACAATAGCAGATAAATAGGTTGTGCCGAAACTGCGCCTGAGAGTTCGCCAGCACGCCACGTGCAATAGGCCTTGAGGTCCCATACTTTCGAACGGAGAGCTCTACCGAGGCCCTTGTCATAGAAATCCGGCTCTGCTTTACCACCCAAGCCGACGAATAAAGTTTTAATCGTTAATCCTACTTGAATACCTCTGTCTACGGATCAGTTGAGAAATTTCTTGGATAAACTCGGCGACGCCAAAATACGTGGCTCAGTGGGACAACCGTGCAGTCGTTTGCTCAAGCGGCTCGCGCCAGGTCCTTTAAGGAGGGTTCAGTAGAGATTACTTTTAGAGCTGCTTAGTGGCAAATATCTCCCAACTCAAGTGTCGTACGGACTTCCTGATTAAAGGTTTAATGCGTGATAAGTGCACAGTGGGAAATAAATAAATGCCGCTTGTAATTTTTTTACTGGATTAAAATATAGGTGAAAAAATTGTGGAAAGAACAAAAAATACCAAGCAGACTGTAAGAACAACTCCTATTGGATAACAAAATAAACCTAAAAATAAAACTCAGAACATCTCTTATTACCATAAGCGGCTTCACTATGAGCCCCCTATCGATGGTTTCTTCCGCCAAAGCCAGCAGGGAAGTATTAGGCTGAGGTAGGGATCACCACGATGCAGACCTCAAACGTTGGTGATACTCGAAAACTACCAAATTGCCACCAAGTTAGTGTTGAGCCCTCCACACTGAGTGAATCTGTTCAGAACGTGTGCTCTACTAAATCTTGTCAACAGCTAATGTCCAAATATAAATGGCTCGTTGTAGTTCTCATGCAGACGCTACCTAAACGGGCTATGTTGTATTTAGTAAGCCTTTTCTTTCCTGAATTCTAACGAGTAGTGTCTAGTGACTAGCAACTTCTGCCGCTAGTGTGGTTCCACGGCGTTAAGGAGACGTTTCCCTCTGGCCGCAGGACTATACAGAGCCTTTTAAAATGTCAAACTTTTGGTTCGGTCGTATAAGCGGTTTTTCGTCATTTCTCGAAAAAGCTCGCGCTAGAGTCCGCACCTTGTCTAGATTATTATCATGATGTTTTTGGTATTTAAGGTGTAGCCTTATCCTACTCCCTCTCTTACAGGACCTTCGAGAACATTCTGGAGGTCAAAATACAGCACGCCATGTGTGGATTGAACACACTGGGAGACCTGCACTCCTTCCTGTATATGCATCCGAACCACATGCAGTATGTCTAGTAGCCTGGTCTCCGCCTCTTACGGCTGACTTCTGTACAGTTCCTGTCTACCCCCCTTTAAATGTTGTTGGGCCCTCTGGATATTTGTTCTTATCCTGTATGCATTTGTTGGCGCATCCCGTTAAATTTCCTTGTCTACCCTCCCTCCCGACTCGATGTCAGTTCACTTTACTCTATGGGCAGTGTGCAGACCCTCTCTCTAATACAACAAAAAGATTTGTGAAAAAGAAAAC